TACTATTATTGCTGTTCAGATTGTCTGTTGAAAATATATAGTTTATTCTTTTAGTTTGTGCATCGACTGCTCACTAATCATAAACAGAGTCGATTGTCGATGCAATAATTACTGATTCGTTAAAGCTGGCAACTTCTACTTGTGTTAAAGTACTTTAAATCCAACAGATATCATTGTTACGATATTAATTTGTTTGTAAATTGTTTTAAAAAATAACTTTTAAATAAATTTTTTATTTTCTTGTTTTTTTAACCAACAGTTCTTTTAAACAATTTAAGTCTCTATGGACTTGGGAATATTTTCTGAAAAAAAAACGTCTTTTAAACGTTCAAAAGACGTTTTTTTATGGTTTAATTTGGGTTTTTTAAGAACGTTTTTTAAACTTTTTTTTAAAAACGTTTTTTAAACAACATTTTTAGAACGTTTTTTAAACGCTTTTTTCAAAACGTTTTTTAGGTATTGCCATTTCGAATGTTTAAAAAACGTTTTATTTATTAGTTAAAAAAAACGTTTTAAAAACGTTCATGTGCTTACTGGGAAGTGGATCAGCATTTTATCTATTGTTTTTTGGAGTCCTATCTAAGTATACTGACACATGCTCAAAAACTGAAACAGATTTTAAAGGAAGTGGCATCAGTGATTTACTACTGTTGTTATAAGGAAACCTCTAAGTGTGCATTTTACCTTTTATGTGTAATGTTGAAGCTGCTTTTCCCATATTGTGCTATAATTTTATCTTTCGAACAATAATTTCAAATTTGCTAATCTACAAATTTTACAGTTTTGCTTTTTTTTCTGTTTAAACATTAGTTGAGAAAAAAAAGCAAAACTGTAAAATTTGTAGATTAACAAATTTGAAATTATTGTTCATTTATGCCTAAAAAAACAATTGTTTTTTCCAAAATAATGGTTTAATGAAGAACGTTTAAATCGTTCTTCATTAAGCCATTTTTTTTGGAAAAAATATTTGTTTTTAGGCATATTCTAACTATTTTATTTAAGAAAAATCAAAATAGGTTATAAGCTTAAACGTATTGCCCTCTTGGTGTAGTTAAGGCAATTTTAAAATTTCATAGCGTCTGTATGATATTTTATTGATTACGACATATTTTTCCGTTAAATGATCAGGTCTGTGAATTATGAAAAGACGAAAAAATTTAAAATGATAATTTTTGCGATATCATAAAATATAAATGTTTATAGCAAAAAAACCGAGACTGAAGTTTCTTTTTTTTTTTTTAAAAAAAAAAAAAAAATCTTCTTAAAATTCCAATCCCTTGTCCAAATTTGAATAAGATTTTAAGTAAATACGTTTTTTAGGTATAATGAACATCATAATTTAAAAATATGATCTGTTCTGAACGTTTATTGGCAATTTTTCTTAATTTCAATATCTTTCTTGGTTGGAATTCTAGTATTTTTTAAGAAAATTGATAGAAATATTGTATTTTGACAACTATATATAGTTAATATACCTCAGAACCGATCAGAACTAGAATCTATAGTAAATTAATCTTTTTCAAAAGATTTTAACTAAATTTATGTTAACGCCGATGAGCGAAAGTGAAAGACTCTGAAATGGTGTTCTTTAGATTCACTATTAGGTTTAGTAAAAAGGTTTTGAAAACTATATATGTATAAAAAAAAAAAGTTTCTTCAAATGTTGAAAAAACCTGAAGCAAAAAAAATTATAATATATAAAGCTTTTGTTTGGACATAATACGCTTATAAAATCATGCTAATTTCAATTAAAAGAATTCAAATAGTTTGTAAATTACCTTAACTACATCGAGGTGTTATATCATATACTTTTTATTTTATATAAAATGTATTCTATATTATGTATTCTTGGGAGCTTAATACAAACCATAACGGGGGTGGGGTTTGAGAATAAATTAGTGGAAGAGGATTTTAGTCCAGATATAATAAACAGGAGGGGGGCTGAATAAAAGGGTGGGCGTGAATTTTTTTACAGAACGCATATAAACAATTTAATTCCAGTGTGGCTTGCGGTCAAATGCGCATTTTTAAACAGCTGTTTCAATATAATACATTAGAATTTAATATGCTTAACTTCAGTTTTATAGTACGGTGAGAAATAAACGAAAACCAAATTTTTAACAAATCGACGCTTAAAAGGTTTTTTAAAGCCTGAAGATTTTTAAATTCTTATTACACAGAAAGTTTTTATTATTACCAGTAACTGATATATATATTTTCTTATTTTTAATTTTGAGATTTTTTTTCTTAACAACAAGTATAAACTAATAAACGAAGGGGGTAGGGGTGTATCAATATATCTTTTGATTATTATATACTTATGATTTTTAATTTTTTATATAAAATTTTAAAAACCTGTAATTCCTTATGGTGTTTGTGCAAGTTTTTTTTAGAGAATCACTAAAGTGAAAATACCTATTGAAAACAATAAATAAAAGCAAAAAAAAAAACGTTATAAAAAAAAAAGTGGAAGATACATGAAACAAACAAAAAGAAATTGACAGATATGCAAATTTCATAGATCATCCTAGTCATATTTAAAAAATGGAAAATTGTTTGAATTAAAATATCCGGAACTTGTTTTCCCTTATTTTCTTTTTAATTTTGCTTTTAGCTAAATTGTTTCTAATTTTTTTTGACACTTTTCATAATTTTTCTATGAGCGATGAGTGAAAACGCTCAAAAAACAAATATATTATAAAAACATAAACCTAAACTTGTATGTATTGAAAATTTATTGGATATTCGGAAAAACTAAAAGTTGAAAAAAATATCAGGAATTCCGGAAAATTCAGGAATAATCCCTAAAGTGTGCAGGACTTTTCGAAACAACTAAAAAATACCAAGATTTTCTAGAACAACTTTCAAATTCAATAATCTTTCAGTACTGGTGGGAACCCTGCGCTTGTTATCTAACCTAAACCCTGTATTGAGCTTGTTTTCAAATGAGTCGAAATTAACCCTGTATTGAGCTTGTTTTCAAATGAGTCGAAATTAACCCTGTATTGAGCTTGTTTTCAAATGAGTCGAAATTAACCCTGTATTGAGCTTGTTTTCAAATGAGTCGAAATTAACCCTGTATTGAGCTTGTTTTCAAATGAGTCGAAATTAACCCTGTATTGAGCTTGTTTTCAAATGAGTCGAAATTAACCCTGTATTGAGCTTGTTTTCAAATGAGTCGAAATTAACCCTGTATTGAGCTTGTTTTCAAATGAGTCGAAATTAACCCTGTATTGAGCTTGTTTTCAAATGAGTCTTTTAAAAATGATGAAGAAAAAATTGCAAAAAAATAAGTTACATTACGGAAAATTAAAAATCAGAAATTATTTAATATCTTAATAAAAAATATTAGAACGATTTAATATTATATAAACTAAAAATAACACGAAACTTCGTCCTTCGGAATAAGAATGCAACTATTTAAAGATTTAGTGCAAAACAACTTATAAAATAGCCTGCATTACAGGACAATTAGCGATTTGAATGAGGAATTATAGTTTATAAAAAATATTTGTTATAGATACAAAAACCCTTTTTTTATTCTTTTTCCAACAAAATCTTAATTTTGACATTTTAAGGCAAAAAATGAAACAGTCAAATTACGCAGTGCTTAACATTTGATCTAATTTTTTTCTTGATAATTTTTATTTTTATATGTAAAGGATTATGTTTCTTTGCAGGCAAACAAAATTTTCCACAAACTTTGTTTTTGGTCTTCTCTAACATATAGTCAAAAGATACTTTATACAGGTTTTAATAAATAAAAAAAAAAAAATGCTTTAATTATCCAATAGAAATACTTCAGTCATCCGACAGAAATTATTCAATAAAGATGTATTAATTATATTATCCAATAAAAAGTTTAGTTGACAATCTATTGATGGCCAAAGCCAAATAAAAGTCATGGAAACCCATTGTTTGATGATCAACGCATCGAAGACATTAGCCTTTGAGCTTTTGTAAGATATTTAGTCATTAATCATGATAATTTTCTATAAAAAAAAATAAATAAAAATAACTTTTGAAATGACCAATTTAATTATTTAACAAACTTTATTACTAGCATAATCAAATAAAAAAAAAGGTTGTAAAAATAATCTTGAAATTAAACAATGTTAGTCAAAAGTCTAAAATTAAAGTTCTCGACATGTAGATGTCTAAAGTAGTAAGTTGAAAGTCATTAAAATTTTTTGAAATTAAGTTTATAAATGAAATGTTAAACTTTTGTAAAGTTTTTGTAAAAATTTACTTACAGCTTTTTAAAACTTACTGCAATCCCTTTAAAATTAAAACTTAAAAGTAAAAATGTTTCAAATAAAATTTTGACAGAGTAATGTTAAAGATATTACTAAGCAATAAATTGATAAAAAATTAGTTTTTTGATACCCCAAAATATATTTCTTTGTCAATTCTTGTTAAAATTTTATGAGAGTTAGAGACCAAACTATAAACCATTGAGTATTAAAAGCTTTGTTTTACTATTTTTACCCACAATCCAATGTTTAAGCGAAACATAATAAATGCAAAAACTTTTGAAAATAAAAAATAGCTACTCACGTTGTAACGTTGTGAATTTCCGCAAGTGATACTGGCTTTTCAATAACACTCATGGGAATCCAATGATTTTGACGCAGATCATTTAAATCCATAAAAGCAAATTTCAATCGTGAAGGAAGATATTTAGTATTGCTAAGAAATTGTTCCATTGAGGCTATGTAGTGATCAAGATGTTGCTAAAATTTTTTAGAAGAACTTTAAAAGTTAAAGGGGAAATCCTAATGTTAAAAGCCTATAGAGGTTATGTTGCTTATAACATACTTACATTAATATTTACTTCATACACTTATTAAAAAAATTGTACAAGGTATTTACTTTGTTTTTGTTACAGGAATCAAGATTTTCACCAGTAGTTTTTAGCAGAATACATAAAAAGTCTATATAACTTGGTGAAGAAACTAGCTTGTTAGCAACTTCATAAATAACAGAATCTGGAATTACCTGAAAAATAACAAAAAAAAAAAAAAAAAACTTATATACGTGAATATATATATATATATATATATATATATATATATATATATATATATATATATATATATATATATATATATATATATATATATATATATATATATATATATATACCCATATATAACCAATAATGTGGTATACTGCTGTTTTCCAGAAATTGTTAGAGGCATCTACATTTTAATAGCTGAATATCACGCATGGTTTTGAATATCATGTTTTTAATATCGTGTGTGGTTTTAAATATCATGTTTGGCAACATTTTAAGTTATTTGATCACAAAGACCTAATTTCATTTGCAAACATAATCTTAAAATATCGCATAATGGATTATATAGTGTTTTTTTTTACAAACTCTACTGTGATTTTCTTTAGTCTATTTATGAAGGTTATTAATTGAGGTAGATAAGCAGAAACATTACTTTACTATGCTAAATACTTAGTTTATCTGTTAAAAATTGCGTTTTTATTAATTTAAAGTAATGCCCTGAAGTGGAATGCAAAGAAGGGAGTACACGTGGAGTATTCCACATTGACAAATTATGGTCAATATTATTCTTTCTAGTTGAAATAAGTTTACATTTCCGTTTCAAAACTTTTTTTCAAACCATTCTGTTGAAAAAAATTTACATATTCCATTTCAAGTTTTTCACATTAGAAGACCAAAAATGCAGAAATGAAACTTGTTTTAAATAATTGAAAGTATAAATCTTTATCTAGATTTTTATATTAGAAAGTAAACAAACTTTTACATCTTAAGAAAATATGTATTATTTGTAAAAAGATATATATTTTATCAAACTTATTTTGTAAAATTTGTATAACTCATTTTATTTACTTGAAGTTTTTAAAGTAAAATTGTAATGATTATGAGTAACAACAGAAAAAATGGTTATTAATGTACAATTCATACATTAATAAGAACTTTTTTGTTTTACCAATTTTTTAGTTTTTATTTAAGTCAATCCCTATTTAAAAACAATAATAATTTAATGTTATTATAAAAATTAGATTATAATATAATGTAATTATAAATATCTAAAATCAGATAATTCCTAATGGAGGATTCAAACCTGTTGCTAAGACAGTTGTGCCTTAATATTGGAGCATTAAGACATCCACTGCGCTAGACTAATATAAGACATCCACTGCACTAAACTAATATAAGACATTCACAGCACTACACTAATATAATGCTTAATGAGAAAAAATAATGTATTTAAACATATTTTATATGATCAACAAATAATTCATCTTAGTGAAAAATTATACAAATATGATTTTATGATTGTTGAACAAAAAACTTTAATATCTTTAAAAAAATGGCACAATGACGTCATATACTGAAGCTGATATAAATTAAATGCAAACTTTATGTCTGCAGATGCTACTAACCATGAATTTTTATTACCATTGTTTACACCTACATTATAGATCTCTAATAATAGTTAAATTTGAAACAGCAAACCAGTGAAGCACCATTGGCATTGTAAGATGAACTGGCTCTAAAAGACTTTGAGAAAACCAGTAACAATTAACAGTAAAAAAATATTACAGGGTATATGATATTGCCAGGCAAACTAGTTTATGAAGAATTGATACCAATAATACTGGAAGATATTGGAATGAAGACACCACTAAACAGTCAAAAAATATTGAACCCAAAAAACATTTAAACTAAAGTGACTCAAGTTTTTATAATTCGTACTTTTATGCCAGCCCCTAAAAAACTAGTAAAAAAGCAGAAACTGTAGAGAAACAAAAAAGAGGTCACTAAGAGATCACTTTCAGTGCAGTCATATATCAATGACTTAAAATGACTTAAAACTCTATAAAGAAAAAAGCTGAAAATGAATGTCACACACAAAACATGAAGTCAGAGTAAGAAGATTAAAATCGCAAAAAACATCTAGAATTAAATGCACATAACTGCATTAATAATACAGTAGTCCTACTAAAACTTCTAAGTTGTTATATTTCTAGAGTTTCATTCTTCAAGAACAAAAGTGATTTTTTGTATCGATTTAATTGTCTCAAACATATGGGAATAAAACTGCATATTGATTTTTGATTTACTATTGCTACTATATCCTACAATCTGAAAAATTATTCTAGAAATATTCTAATTCATCTTATTTAATCAGTGCGGTAGTGGTGTAGTGGTAGAGCCCTGCCTTTATAAGCAAGTTCCAAATTCGATCCCCCCCAATCTCAGGTAGTACTGCGCTCAACTTGTTTCTCCGCGCAGCAGCCTTTTCCCCCAAGGTTTGTGTTTCCAAATTAAAGAGCTGAGAAAGGTTTGTAACCACAAAAACTAGCCTCCTCAACTGTAGTGGTCTACTTGGCCATGGGGAGGTAAATGACATTAAAAAAAAAAAATTCATATTTATTACATATATTTATTTATGTTATATTTATAATAAATTTCAGTAAAGCATTAAATTTGGACATCTTGTGATAAAATGTTCATATTAAAACAAGACATGTTCATATTATAAACACCTGCTTGAAATATAGACACTCCATAATAGTATTTATTTTGTTTAATTATCAAAAGTTATTTTTTTATAAGGGGGTAAAAATGTCTATAATTTTGCAAATTTATATAAATTTTATAAGTTTACATCCATCGTTTGGATCAACAAAATTTAATATGGTGTCCATGTTAACAGCACTTACCCTTAATTATATAAAGTCATAATTTTTTTATTTAAATAAAGTAAAAATAATATCACAAAACAAAACTTTCTTATATTTAATATTTAATAAATAAAAAAAAAAACACTGACCTTAAAATTGAACAACTCTCCAATAAACTCCAAACAAGCAAATAATTTTCGTCGTTTCATCATATCAAAATAATTAACTTCTTGTTGAGAGTGCTATATATATATACACACACACACATATATATATATATATATATATATATATATATATATATATATATATATATATATATATATATATATATATATATATATATATATATATATATATAAATTAGTAGAAAATCACTTAACAAAAATTTTTTTCATTTTACACTGTGTTTCATTAACAAAGACTCATCAGATTTTCTGATGAGTCTTTGTTGATAAAACAAAGCTTTTTAGGAGCAATTTATTTTCGTGTTTGCATTTAGAAATCGATTCTTATTCTTTGTTTAAACATACTTGGTTCACATGTGTAATTATTTCAAATTTTTCTTGTAGGCACAGTATAAATATTTTGAAAATATTGTTATATGCAAGTGTTGTTTTAAGGATGGACCAATTCAGTATAAAATCATCAATATTTTTATCTTTTAATTTTAAATTTCAATTTTGACAGTATGGTGTCTTTTAAAAACTTTTTATTTTTAAAGGATTGCTTATGATTGGCAAAACGCTTTTTCCTATTCACCCTCTGTTTTGCCAATATATTGTTCATCAATTACATTTTTAGAGGAAACAAGACATTTATATACCACAATTTTTGATAAACAATCTCCACTCATTGGACAATTGTTTTTTTTTGTTTACAATAACAATTTTTTGTAATTTTTTTATTTAGGATTTCTTTTTGTTTAACAAAGCATTATTGTGATCCTTTATATTAATTTTCACATTTTTTGTGCAGCTGTAGCAAACTTTAATTGTGTATTGAAAGAAGTTATCCGCCAACTTTAAAAAAACTTTTTCTATGTTACAATAATAATAGAATACATAGAAAATACATAGGAAAATTTCACTATCATTAAAATTTCACTAACATAGGTAAAGTATTTTTAAATAAAGGGTCTTTGGGGACTCTTTAAAGGATTTTTTATTTGAAAAATTTTTAAATCCAGTGTTTTTTTTTATTATATAGAACACATTAAGGGGGTGACAGCAAATATTTTTCAAAATCTTATTTTTGAAATTAATAGTAAGAGTTAGCTAGCTGTTTAGACTGTGGAAGTAATGTTAAAATCAATTAAGTCATGCAACAAGAATTTTATTTAAAAATGTAATTCAAGTTTTAGTCAATGACATTGAACATTAAAAAAGGATTTGATATTCTACTTTTAAATGTAAATTTTTAAAAATACTTATTTTTGAATAAAAAACAAAAAACTATTTTTTGTCTTATTTTGAATTTATTTTTGTAATAGTTATGTACCACCAATAATTTTATTAAAGTTGATTATTTTTGTTCTTCATTGCATAATTTATCATTCTAAATAAGACTAATTTTGATAGTTTATAAATGGTTTCTATTATTTAGAATAATGACATCTGGCCTTATTACCAGATATTAACATTCTGACATAACTGTTAGTTAGCAGCAAAATCATGGTCATAATCTTAAAGATAAAAAAAGACAAAGGAAGGAGCTCTGAGCATGAGGATTTAGAGACTCTTTCTTCAACATTTTTTCACTGTAACTGTTCCTTTATGTTGTAAAACATAATGTAAAACATTAACTGTTCTTTCATGCTAAAAAAATTTAATTTAACATTAATTTTTTTACTGCTTAAAAATTCTTTCTTGTTTTTATATTTTATTAAGCCTTACAAATTGAAGTCTTCTTCCTTTTTTTTTCCTAATTTTTTATACTTGAAACTTATTTACCAGTTCCTTGCAGCCTTGTTAGGAATGAAATCATAATAAAAAAAAAAAACAAAAAACTAATACTCCTATGATTACAACAAAACCAGATAATAAAACCATCTATAAAAACTTTTTATAAAAACCATAAACCATCTATAAAAACCATAAACCATCTATAAAAATCATAAACCATCTATAAAAACTAAAAAATAGCTATAAATCTTTTTTAAACAAGTAGAATCAATTAGAAATAGTGAATGAAAATATAAATTTTTCTCGCATCACAAAAATATGTAGTCAAAATTTTTGAATTCTTTGATTTTTTTTGAGGGAAAAATACAAAGAAGAAAAAGAAAAAGAGGCATAGTAAAATTCAAAAACGCAAATGAAAACTTTTGAAATAAGTATAACATATTATCATACTATGAAGATTAATAATTGTGATTTTTATCAATGGATAAAGAAAAAAAATAATTTATTTTATTGATTATTTAAAATAATTTAGGTTTTGACAATTCATCAAATAGAAAACAAAGTTTGTTTTTATATATAGTCAAAAGTGGTGCTAAGTGTTTATAAAGTGGAATCAAAAAACACTCATCAATTATTTTAGTAATCATTTGTTTTAAATTCAATATAAAATTTATAAATTAATAAGTTTTCAATTTTATTGTTACATTAAATCTAGAAACTATATAAAATTTAAAAAAATTAATACTATACAAAAAAATAAAAAAATATAACAAACTTACTAACAGATTGATCTTTGCAGAATTCTTCTTGCTGGATTAGTAATAACTTATCAAATTTTTGTTTACAGATTGTTAATAAACTACTTGCAAATGATAAATTTTGTGCTACTTTGCTTTCCTGAAATAATAATAATAATAAATATTATATATATATATATATATATATATATATATATATATATATATTTATATGATGTTGTTTTATTGTACCAAGTTATGATACAAAGTCTCTTGTTCGTTTGAGAGTGATCAATATTAAGTAAATTGTTTACTAAATAAAGCAGTATTATTATATAAAGAGTTTGATTATTTGAAAAAATACAACTTTGTGATAGAACTTAAAGTTTTATGCCCTTCGCAAATCATCAGCCGTTTTTTATTCTTTAAATTAAGAAAAAACCGTGAAAAAATACAAAATACAGAAATTAACAGAAAAAAACCATAACAAAGCAATGGAATGTGTTAAAATTGTATAAAGCTTTTTTTTATGTATTACCGTATATGATGAAACGTAAATATATATCTATTTTTAAATTATTTTAGCAGGGCAAAAGGCATTAGAATAAAGAATTTAAGTTTTAATCAAAATTTATTGATTTGGCAGTTTTATTAAACCCTAAAAAACCTAATCTATTTGATAAACTAAAGAAAAACCTATTACAATAAAACAACATCAATAAAATACAACATATACAACATGTACAACATATATACAACAACAATATAATACAACATGTACAATAAAACAACATCAATTAGCTTTATACATCGAGCACTCTTCTCAAATCGTATACGCAATGAAAAAAACTAACTTGAGTTATTCAATCAAGAACATTCCAATTCCATCAATGAAGAACTACAAAATACAACTATTTGATAAAACCGAAGCACTAATTAAAAAAATGAGATAGAAAGCTTTCTTCTTTCTTAATAAAGATCAAAAAAGTAAGGAAAATATTTTTTATAACAATTACGGCATTAAAACATCAAGTTATACCAAACAAATTTCTGATATGTCTACATTTGAAAACGATTTGATAGATCTTATAAAAAACATTAAATTTCGTAAAGTATACAATAATTTCCAAGACAAGTTAAAAGATGACATATCTACCATACGCAATAGTAAACTTACATATACTTTTTCCGATAAAACATCCAATTTATATAATATATCTAAAGAAAATTATACCCATTTGCTTACAAATGCTATCACCTCAACATACAAAAAATCGAATACAAAAATAAAAAATCAAATAAATAAAGAAGGTAAACGAATATTAAAAAATCACGACGTTTTTAATAAAATCGACAACACATCTTCAAATTGTTTTATAAAATTAAAAGATCATAAAGAAAACTTTACAAATAATCCAACTGTCCGTTTATTAAACCTTGCCAAAAATGAAATCAGCAGAATTAGTAAAGTTATACTTTCTAATATAAACTTTGAACTTGTAAAGAAACTTCATCTCAATCAGTGGTAAAAAACCCAAGATACCACAAACTGGTTTAATCGCATCAGTGATAAATGTCTTTATAAATTCCTTATTTTTGATATTGTTGATATTTACCCTTCGATATCTGAAAAACTTCTTAACAACGCTATTCATTTTGCTGAGCAGCATCTAAACATCAACCCTAACCATAAAACATTGATCTATCATGCAAGAAAATCATTATTATATAACAATGATAAAGTTTGGATTAAAAAGTCAAGCGGTTTATTCGATGTTTCAATGGGAGCATTTAATGGTGCTGAAGTTTGTGATCTTGTGGGAATTTATATTTTGTTTCAAATTGCACAGTTTTATGATAAAAATGATTTTGGATTGTACCGCGATGATGGTTTAGCAGTTTTCAAAAAAATGAGTGGTTCCTAAATGGAAAAAATCAAAAAACATTTTATTGAAATATTAAAAAAAAAACCAACTTACTATATCAAAACAGTGCAATATGAAAATTATAAATTATCTTGACGTCACATTAAATCTCAACGACAATACTTTTCAACCATATTCTAAGCACGAGAATTCTATAAACTATATTCATGCTGATTCAAACCACCCGCCTAATATTTTAAATCAGCTTCCGCATTCAATTGAAATAAGATTGTCTGCAAATTTGTCAAGCGAAGAAATTTTTCAGCAAAAATATTAGCACTAATGTAGGAAAAAGCTTTTTAACCTTAATCAACAAACACTTCCCAAAAAATCACAGACTCCACAAAATTTTTAACAGAAACACAATAAAAATAAGTTATAGCTGTATGCCGAATATGAAATCTTTTTTAAATTTATTTATTTTATTTATTTATTCTTTTTATCACCCATAATTACAGGTAAAAAATACAGGGATCATAAAACTAATAGTTTATACTCTAAGTTAAAATTCTAATTTAGATTCTTCTTGGAATGATATCTTCCATTAAATTTTTGAATATCATTCTCTGCTCTCTGATGTTCCAGGACTCAAAGGACTGGTTTAAAATTTCTGCTATATTATCTTCTACATCATCGTTACGACCTTTGATAATGATTTTTTCTCCCTTAATCAAACACTGCATGAAGCTTCAGGAATGAAGTTCCAGGTGGTTGCAAATTTTCATTATTTAGTAAATAAAGCAGTTTTCCTTATTAACATTGGATATTTGAGTTAAATCAAGGAAAGACAAGTCGGATTTCTCAGTAATCTGATAGATTCAATTTCTTTTGAACGAGGATGGTAGATCGATTTTAAAGTAGGAATGCAGATAGTTTTTGCTGTATTTTGAAATACTAAAAAGAAATTTTAATGCTGATCTTCCAACAGCATCTAATTTATTAAGAAAAGTATTGTTATAATCACAAATTTCTAATCCATATGATAGATTTGGTATAGCCAGAGATTTGAACAAATGCACTATAGTTACTGGTTGACAAAAACAAATTCAAGATTTTATAAGAGCTCTGAAGAATGATTGAAATTGAATAATTCTTTCGTTTACATTTGCTGATTGGTCATGCACACAATCAACAAATTATGAACAACAACAAAATTCCACCTAAAACCAACTGCAATTCCTTAATAAAAATACCTGCCCTTTATCAAACCAATGCTTAACAAAAAACATTGTTTACCAAGCCAATATAAGTTCCAATAATCCTACTAACACGCCTGTCAACAAATCCTACATCAGTATAAGTGAACACCATTCAAAATTAGGTAAGCCAACCATATGGTCTCTCTAAAACTATTATCTAATTCTTCTTTACCATAAGAATCCCCCTTTCATCGTACATCTTACAACTACCTTAAAGCTGACTGGAACTCTTTCCGTGATTTTCTTCGTGATGGCCCCTGGGTAGAAATCTTTCGTCTTCCTGTTGACAAATGTGCTTCTTACATAATTTCGTGGATTCAGGCTAGCATGGAATCCTTTATTCCCTCTCGACGATTCCAGGTCAAGCCTCACTCTTCTCCATGGTTTTCCATGGAGAAGAGTGAGGGTAAATGGGGGTAAAAAAATTTTTAATAAAAAAAATTCACTAAAAATAGGGGTAAGAGATGCCCTGTTCCAGCCTGCTGGAACGGGGCATCTCTTACCCCTATTTTTAAAAATTCTGGAGAGCGATCTGATTCATCTAACTACCGTCCCATTAGTCTTCTTCCTATCATAAGCAAGGTTTTTGAATCTTTAATTAACAAACACTTTTTTTTTTTTTTTATTTGCATTCACTCCCAACAAGGCTGCAAGCAACCACTATTAAGTTGGGAGTTACTAGGAAAAAAAAGAACAGAGTTATAGAGCAAGGAAACGGTTGACAGAAGACTTGAAAAGTTGAAGGTTGTATGAGTCAGGAAAACATGAAGATGGGAGAGAGTTCCAAAGGATTGAAGTGCGGGGAAAAAAACTAGATGAATAAAAGTTTTTAGAGCATGCAGGGACAGATACAGTAAATGAATGAGACTTAGCTGAATGACGAGTAAAACGAGAATGAATTTTAGTTGATGGAACTAGAGATGATGACTCCTTTGAGCAGTGACCATGATAGTATTTGTAGAAAAGAGAAAGAGGTGCAACTTTACGACAATGGGAAAGAGGTTCAAGCTTAGCAGATAGTCCAGGTCCAACAACATTTACAATGCATTTTTGGACCTTGTCAAGAAGAGAAAGTGAATCGTTAGAAGAACCAGCCCAAATATGATAACAGTATTCCATAAGAGATTTGTAGAGGTAGAGAATGGAATCAGAAGTAAGAAAATGGCGAGCACGATAAAGAGAAGCAACCTTAGCAGAAGCTAATTTAGCAATCAATTGTATATATGGTTTCCATGAAAGGTCAGTAGTAAGTGATAATCCAAGAAGACAAAAAGAGGACTAAGTAAGAGGATTGCCATTCATTAATATAGGAATGTTGACCATATTACGGTAGTTGTTTGCAGAAGCAACTGGGTTTTTTTAGAGTTGAAATTCACAAGCCACTGTGAACCCCAATCTATTACTGAAGTGAGATCGGATTCAAGATCAGCTGCTTGTTCTAGGCAATCGAAAAGAGAAGACTTTTTGTCAAGACAGGAGTATAAAGTTGAGTCATCAGCAAAAAGAGCTACTTTAGATAAAAGGTTGTCAGGAAGATCGTTTATGTAGATAAGAAACAAAACAGGGCCCAGGATGGAACCTTGGGGAACCCCAGAAGTTACTGGAAATAAAGAAGAGTGTTGGCCTTCAAGGATGACTTTAATAAACCGGTTAGAAAGAAATGATTTGATAATCTCAAAAACTTTCCCAGAAACACCATATGAAGCAAGCTTATGGAGAAGACCAGCATGCCAAACTTTGTCGAAAGCTTTAGATATGTCGAGAGCAATAGCCCTAGCCTCACCGCCTCCATCTAATGCATGATAAAATCTTTCAGTTACAGCAGTTAGCAAGTCGGCCGTAGAGCGAGAGGATCAAAAACTGTATTGATTGTCTGACAGTATTTTATTTGACTCAAGATGAGATGTGAGGAATTTGTTGATCAAAGACTCAAAGACCTTGCTAATAACAGAAAGAAGACTGATTGGACGATAATTGGAGGAGTCAGAATTTTCTCCAGAGTTTTTGAATATTGGAACCACAGATGCCATTTTCCAACAAGCAGGAAAACAAAACTCAGTCAAACACTTGTTAAATAGTTTAGAGAGAATTGAAGAAAGTTCTGGAGAACAATTCTGCAAGACTGTGACAGGAATGTTGTCTGGACCACAAGCTGTAGACGAATTTAATTGAAATATGACCTTAGCAACAGTAGCCAGAGTGATTTGAATGTCTAACAATGGGTCAACTTATTTGACTGGAATGGAAGGAAGAGAATGTCCATAAGATTCAAGAGTGGAATTAGAAGAAAAGTTCTTTGCAAATAGTTCTGCCTTATCCTTGGGAGAGGTAATAAGATCAGTCCCATGAATGAGAGATGGAATGTTAGATCTACCCTTGTTAATAATGCTGTTGAAGATTTTCCAAAAGTCTTTAGAGCCTAACTTCTGTGATAAGATGCGAGATTTAGTGAACTGAGAATAATGGAGTTTAGCATCAGAAAGCACCTTTTTACATCCATTTCTTGCAATAATAGATAGCCGTTTGTTCTCAAGAGAGTTGTTCTTTTGAAAAAGATGAAAAAAATGATTACAGTTGGATATAGCAGCCGCACAAGAAGGAGAAAACCATGGAGTAGAATGAGGCTTGACTTGAAACCGACGCGAAGGAATAAAAGCTTCTATTCCAGCCTGAATCCAGGAGGTTACGTAGGAGGCGCATTTGTCAGCTGAGAGAGAAAAAACATCAGCCCAAGGACCATCACGAAGAAAATTACGAAAGGAATTCCAGTCAGCTTTAGGGTAGTAGTAGGTGGTGCAATGATAAGGTGAGCCCAAAAAAGAAGTACGAGAAGAAAGATTTATAGAGATCATTGCATGGTCAGAACCACCTAAGGGAGAAAAGGGAGAAACTGAACATAAGCTAGGGTCAGAGACAAGACATAAGTCAAGGAGTGAAGGTAAATGATTAGGGTTGTCAGGAAAATGAGTCACAAAGTTAACTACCTGAGTAAGAGATTAAGAAACGCAGAAGTTAAAGGCTTTAGTGCCAGCAGGATCAGTGGTGTTAGAGCCATGCCATTCAGTGTGATGGGCATTAAAATCACCAACAACAAACACTTAATGTCTCATCTTGAATCTAATTACTTACTTTCTAATCATCAATATAGTTTTCGATCTTCTCGCTCTACTGCTGATTTGCTATCAGTAATAACCGATAGGTTTTATCGCGCATTAGATAAAGGTGGAGAGCTTAAGGCCATCGCTCTTGACATTTCTAAAGCGTTTGATAAAGTTTGGCATGCTGGTCTTCTCCATAAGCTTTCTTCTTACGGTGTATCTGGAAACATCTTTAAGATTTTTGAATCCTTTCTTTCCAATTGTAGTATAAAAGTTGTCTTTGATGGACAGCACTCTTCTTCTTATTCTGTAACCTCAGGGGTTCCCCAAGGTTCAATCCTTGGCCCTATACTCTTTTTAATTTACATTAACAATCTTCCAGATATTCTCACATCTAAGGTGGCATTGTTCGCTGATGATACTACCATTTATTCTTGTCACGATAAGAAGCCAACTCCCGCTGTTTGCTTGCAGGGGGCATCTGAGCTTGAAAAGGATCTCACTTCTGCTACAGCATAGGGCTCACAGTGGCTGGTGAACTTTAATTCAGACAAAACTCAATTTTTTTTCAGCCAATCGTTATCACAATAATTTAGACCTTCCTATATTTATGAACGGTAATGTACTCGATGAGTCTCCTACCCTTCATCTTCTAGGATTAACTCTTATCTTTCGTGGAAACCTTATATCAAATCCGTTGCTAAATTAGCATCTGCTAAAGTTGCTAAAATCTCTTTATCGAGATCGTCACTTTCTTACTCTGGATTCTATTCACTGTCTCTACAAATCTCAAATCTGGCCTTGTATGGAATACTGTTGCCATATCTGGAGCGGATCTTCTAATGATGCCCTTTCTCTTTTAGACAAGGTGCAAAAACGCATTGTAAACATAGTTGGACCTGTTCTTTCAGCCAAACTTCAACCTCTGTCACATCGCCGTAATGTTGCTTCTCTTTCTCTTTTCTACAAATACTATAATATGCACTGCTCTAAAGAGCTAGCGCCTCTTGTGCTATCTACAAAAATTCATTCTTGTGTTACTCGTCATTCAATTAAGTCTCATCCTTTTTCTGTTACTGTTTGTAAGTGCTCCAAAAACTCTTATTTGTCTAGTTTTTTTCCTCGAACACCAGTTCTTTGGAATTCGCTTTCTTCATCTTGCTTTCCTGATTTATATAATTTGCAATCTTTTAAGTCGTCTGTCAATCGTTATCTTGCTCTACAATCTTCATCTTTTTTCTTCCAGTAACTTCCAACACTTATTAGTGGTTGCTTGCAGCCTTGCTGGAAGCGAAGATGTTGAAAAAAAAAAGAAAAAATAAAAAAAAACAAAATCATTTAACATTCTAAAATACAAAAATGACACCAAATTATCAAAATAATTTTGGAAATTAAAAGATGCCAACTTAAACCCAGTAGTCAAATGGAAAATAATTAAGCAGTGCAATGCTTACAACCCAGCCACGAAGTCCTGCAAACTATGCACATATGAAAAATATGAAATTCTATTTTCCAAAAATAAAAATCTGCTAAACAAAAAAAGTGAAATGGTATCCAAGTGCAGGGATCGAAACAAGTTCCTTCTCGCCCTATTCGACACGGGCGATTGAGCAATTTTCTAATTAATTATAAAATTGTTTGTTTTGACGTCATAACACATTCCATTGCTTTGTTATGTTTTTTTTCTGTTAATTTCTGTATTTTGTATTTTTTCACGGTTTTTTCTTAATTTAAAGAATAAAATATGGCTGATGATTGCCAAAGGGCATGAAACTTTAAGTTCCATCACAAAGTTGTATTTTTTCAAATAATCAAACTCTTTATATAATTTATTTCATTTTTTACTTCATCTGTTTACAAAAATGATTACCTTGCCGTAACCCTAACCCTAAGCCTGACCTTGATGCCTGGCCAAACCAAACCTTCAGTCGATGTAGCAGCACTCCCTTGCGAGTCAGGCTATTTGTCAGTCGATGTATGTACTTTTCGTTCTCTATAAAAGTTTCTTATGGGTACATTTTTTTACAAAAAAAATCATGCTTACGGGGACAAAAAATTAACGGGCACACTAAAATGTCCACGATAATGCTAATGTCAAAATAAGTGTTTGTTTGTTTATAAAATCTGTCCCCGTAAGTGCTTAACTATACATTAAATCAATATTTAATTATATTATTAAAAATAATGTAATATTGTTATATATTTATTATTAAAAAATAATAAATATTGATATCTTTATGTAATATCTATAGAAAACGCAGTTACTGTTTATCATCACAGTTTTGAACACGAATATCAAGATTTTAAAATCTCTAGAATACAAAGTCCACAAGTCGTCATCTAAACCCAAAAATCTTTGTGAATTTTTGAAAAACCATTCTTTTGTTAGATAATTTAAGAAATTCAATTAGGCCTCTTACCTATTGTTGTCAGGTTGCAAAAGTTATTGTTGTAAAGGCACAGAGACATAAATATAATCTGAACACACTTTATCAATTTAAGGTTATAAAAAAAGACTGGGCATCTTTGATGTAATAAAAATGACATTTTTAAAAAGATTCCACATATTATCCTTAATCTTTACCTTGCAGTTGTGATAAAATATTTAACTGAACTGGAGATTTTATTCAAATTTGAAAAAGTTTAAAACAAACTTAAAATAAATCTCAGTCACTTACTAGTCATTGGTTGAGTTGATAATGACCTAATACCTTATTAGAAGTAGTAATAAAATATTATTTTTTTAGCTTACCATTTCTTTTTCATTTAAACTGTGACATAACTTAGCATACAGTCCACAATATAAAGGCTCAATTATGGCTCTCTCAACAATCATATGACAAAGTTTGATCAAATTATCACAGTTATTTATAGGAAGTGCAAACATCACTGCTACAATCAAGTCATAATTTTCTGGAGTTATTCGGTTCAAAGCAAATAGAACATTGCGCAAGAAACTCTAAATGATATAATTGAAGTAAAAAAAATAATTGTTTTTCACAAATTGTTTTTAAATCACAACTTTTTTAATTATTACAAACCTGTAGTTCTAACTCCTCTTGCCTAACTTCTAAAGTTGTTCTTAGTGATCGGCGTACCCATACTTTATTCATTACATAAATGTAATTTCTTTTAATTATAGAAATATTTAAAACAATAACTACCTGTATAAACAAATACAAAAAATATGAAATATAAGTATGTATAAACAAATATAAAAAAATATGTATAAACAAATATAAAAAAATATGTATAAACAAATATAAAAAAATATGTATAAACAAATATAAAAAAATATGTATAAACAAATATAAAAAAATATGTATAAACAATATAACAACTGTATAAACAAATACAAAAAATATGAAATATAAGAACATTATAAGAAATATAATAAAATTACATATGGAATATAAGAATCTACAAAATCGAAATTCAACATTATAATATTAAAAAAAGGAAGTTAGCAAATGTAAAAAAGTTTAAAAATTTAAAAAATAACATTTGTAGCATAAAACTAGAAAAATAAATATTTATTATTAACTTTTTCTTTATTATCTTTAAAAACCTTTTCTAATAAATGCTATTTATCCAGCAAAGTTTTAGAAAAAAAAAAATTCGACAAAAAATTATCATATTAAATTATAAACTTAATAAGAGTATTTATAAATTATTAATTTAATTAAAACAACAAAAAAAAAAAAAAAAATTGAAAACCTGCAAAGTTATTTTTTGTCAAGTTTTAATTAAAAAAAAATCTTCTTTAATGATATTTACACTTCTCCAAATAATAAAATAAATAAGATAATAAATAGTAATAATAAAAGTTAAAAATTTATACTATATTTTTATTTATACAGATAAGGTTTTAGAAACTGTCTTAGTGCATGCTGATGCTAAAAACTTTGATACAAATTTCATCCCAGACAAGCCTCCAGGTATATAGGAAACCAAATACCTAAAAAAATAAATTTTTTCAATTGAAGAGTTTATTAAAAATTAAACATTTATATTCAGGTGGTGGTCAGGTGTTCCATGTCTAAAACAGGAAGTCAGTCAGAATATCACTTATAAACACTCACTATTCAAATAGAAAAACTCATAGAACTATAAAAATTGGTAAATTAAACAATTTCAGTCTTTTCCTTCGCTTTTGTTAAGTAAATGAAAAATAAAAATTATATTGTGAGTAAAAGCAGAGCTTGATAATTTGTAAGAATTGGTTTCACAAAAAAAATATATTCCTACTCTGCAAAACATATCAACCTCAGAAAATTCCTACTCTGCAAAACATATTAACTTCAGAAAATCAAAAAAATTGCTATAACACTCCTAAATATAAATAAGAAAATATAAATAATATAAAATATAAATAAATCATAAATAACATCATAGAGAAATAATCTAACTATAGAAATGTGGAACAGTAAATGTCAAACTTAAAAAAACAAAAACAAAACTAACACTAACTTTACCAAATTTAGGAAGTTTAACACCAGGGTAAAGACAAGATCATTTCCACAACATGATTATCAACATCAAACAGACATATTGGTCATTTTAGCATAATACATAATGTCAATAACAATCAATATACACTGGTCATAAAAGCAACATGTGTAACAACATAAGTAACAACATGTGTAACAACATAAGTAACAACATGTGTAACAACATAAGTAACAACATGTGTAACAACATAAGTAACAACATGTGTAACAACATAAGTAAAAAAGAATTAGTTTCCTAGAAAATCAACTGCAGAATATCATAGAAAACAGTAGAACAAGCCAGCTATCACCAGCTGGATTGCAACATCACACAGGCAATTTTCACAGATTTTTAAGAATTACAAAATTTTCTTCTGTATCTCAGTAAGGTATGAATTGTTATAGAAGCGAGGTGTTCAAAGCAAGTAGCTGATTGTTCAAAGGAGGTAGCTGAGGTGTTTAAAGTAAGTAGATGATTTTGAATTATTTGAATTTGGTACTATAATACTGCAAAATAAAAAGCTATATCATTGCAAAACAAATTCTTAACAAAAAAAGAATTTCAAGAGTTGTTTTTTTGAAAACTTTTTAATACTTGGTAATTTATATTGAACACTCTTGATAATTGTAGAATTATATATGTAAAATTGAGCACATTTTTTAATAAAGCCATATGCACCAGGAAAAAAAACAATGAACCCATTGCCAAAATATCTACACAACCTACAGAAAAAATAAGTTAAAATTATTAACCTATGCCAGTCAACATTTCACAAGATTTCCACAAATGGGCTGCTCAAGTAAATGAGCACCCTTTGTCTGGAGAAGTTTACACTTAAAAGTCATTAAGGGTTTTGAATATCAGGCAGAGGTCAATACATGATGGAACTCTCGTACCATTATAGCCCATCTTGTATTTTTTATGATGTCTGAAACCCAAAAAAAATTAGTAAAATCTATTCATTTATTTTCTACTTATGAACCAGCACAACGTTATTAGTATTAGTTATGGGTCTGAGTACAGTTAAAAAACGTCAGACTGGTTTTATTTCATCTGGTTTGTTTTCAATTCATTTAGTTTTTTCAAATCAGGAAATTATAAATGAAAAAATAAATACTTTTTTAAAAAGTCAATAAACTTTTGAAAGGTTAAGATTAGCAAATTTTTGAATGCTCACAACATTTTAAACTTTGGCTTCTTAGCCAAATAATAAATTTAATAAAAATGGGATTTCTTTTTTAAGTGAAGTAAATTTTAAACCATTGATTTTAAATTTTAGAATTTTTGACAACACATCTGAGAAATTAAGAATTTTAAGATGCTTGAGAAAATAAAAAACTCTGAATTCTTTACAATGATTCTGATAAACAGTTAAACCTTATGCCAGTTGATACAACTCAAGGAAAAAAAAAAGGAACATTTTCAGAAAGAGAAGCTTTTTGAAAGTTTGTAGTCAAGTATGAGCAATAATATAGGGCCTTAGAGATTAAAAAAATTGTGACAAATCGGGATATATGAGTAACTATCAAAAACAAGGGTAAGATGTGCAAAGTTGAGACTTAACTGAAACTACTTAACGCAAGGGGTACATCATTACCAATGGCGCATCAGGGGTGCATTCTTATACGCACATCTAAAGGTAAATAAAACAATTTTTAAAATTAAAAAAAAAAAAACTGTTTAAAAATGTGCACTAACTGATACAGAGTATGGCTAAAGCAATATGAAGCTAGACAATATAAATATTTATAAATAACAGAAAAGACAACCAGTCTAGTGTAAACCTTGAGGACAGAAAAAAAATCACAAGGTAAAGCTGCAACCTCAGTCGAGGTTGGAAACAGCAATTATATCTAAAGATATATCCACTGTTTCTAGAACCTTAACATAATGAGATATATTTAAAACAAGAGTGAAAACTTAGATTCTATAAAACAAAAAGACTTAAAATAAAAACAGAACATTTATATTATCATCACATAATCTTATAACTATAAAATAAAATATCTTAAAGGTACTTACCACAACAGAGTCATAATTTGCAAAGTTGCAAATAAGAGTGTTACAAGTGTACTGTGAAGCTAAAAAATAATAGTGTTATCAGTGTTCTACATAGCTTAATAAATGATAGTGATGTCAATGTGAAATGGAGAAAAAGATTATTATTTTTCTAGATAATTTCTTCATATTTTTTTTTTCTATCGCTTCTAAATAAATCCTTTCTAGGGAAAGAATCAAAATCAAGACAAATAAACAATTAACACTAATTTAACATAATATCATCAAATAAGAAGACTATTTCAATTTTATTTATTTTCAGATTCATTTAAAAAAATTGACTTAAATATTCATAAATATTCAAAGTGATGAAAACATGGCAAAGGACTTCTAAAATATTGTGTTTGAGGTAAAAAAAAAAAATCTTTTTTGGGATTAAATTGTTCATGATGGACCGTTACAGTAAAAGGATGCAAATTAGCTGAATAATGACTAACTTGAGATTGACTTTAGGTGAAGGGTTTCCATATGGAACAAATTTTTTGGATTGAACAAGAGATGTGTGACAGATGTACATTGCTTGAGCAGTAACTATAGTAATAGTTGTACAAAATAGAAAAAGATGCAACCATATGACAAATGGAATAAAGGCATAAGTCTGGGAGCTAGAGCAGATCCAACTACATCTATAATGTTTTTGGATTCCATACAAAGATGAATAAGAGATTTATAGAGTTATAAAATGGAATGAGGATAAGAAAATGAGAGCCCCATGCTTACTTAAAATAACTTAGAAATAGAAAATAAATACATTTTTAAAAAGTCCATAAACATTTAAAAGGTTAGGGTATAGATATTTGAATGGTCACACATTATTAAACTAAGAAGAGAAACAACATTCAAGATTGGATGAAGTTTTTAGGCAATTAAAATCTGATGTTTTTGACCAAAATATACGGTTGTCTCATCTAGATTATAAGCCTCTTTAGGGATAAGATTATTAAGAAGATCATTAATATAGATGAGAAACACAGGAGTGCAGATAATCAGGCATTCATCACTAGAGTATCTCATACTCATGCATGTTCTAGTTTTGATTCATGCCACTTTTTCTACGTAAATCATAAGGCTTGAATTTAATGGTATAATATTTTTTGGTAAAAAACAGCTCTTACTACCAGAACATTTTTTTCCCTGAAAATATTGTGATTTATCCCTGAATGCTGACCACTTTTTATGTTACAAATGTACATAATGACTATTTGCTATTAATTAACCCTATGCTATATTATAATAGAATGATTGTTTTTTAAAATATTATTTTGTGTATAAGTGTTAGTTCAAATACACATTATAAATATGATGATAGTAATAATATCATTACATGATAGTAAGAAAACTAGAAAAAACTAAGCTGACGGAGTATTTTGGTGCTAGAAAGTTTCTCCTAACTGAATTTCCAACATTATACCATTGTTTGCAGCAATGTCTTGATCTGCAACCAGAAAAAATACTAATTTATGAAAAAAAGTTACATTTATCAATGCAAGAAATATTTTTTTATTATTGCCCTTGAAATTGCAGAACGTTTGATGGCGATGAACAATGGCCAAAAATAAAAATTGCACCCATATATTCCCATAAGGGAGTTTTTCTTGTATGTTTTAGATCCACT